TCAAGGTTATTAAAAATTTAGTGGGAACAGAGGCTGAACTTAATTTCCTTTGTATCTTTTCAGAGATGACTATAGTAAATGTTTTCTTTGTCACTTGAAAGTCAGTTAACATTTCTTAAACACTTCCTATGTGTCTAGACATTTTTTATGTATCTTAGTTCCAGGATCTTTTGGAAATTCTCAGTTTTTACTACAGTAGTTTCTGTGGAAGAAAGAGAATGGTAAGTATTTCTTGACTTGGTTTAACTTAAAAATCTTTCTGCCATCTACTCTATGCAGTTATACGAGTTTGAGAGGAAGAAAAATGTGGGGAAATGCTTATGATATAATGTAAGTGACACAAGCTGCAAGTGTGACTAGTGTATACTGTATGATTATAATTATGCAAAACATCTTATGCTTAGGGGGAAAAAGCCTCTGAAAGGTAATGAACCAAACTGTTGATAGGTGCAGTTTTTGAGTCCTGGGTCTTATATCTGATTGTTTTCTAGTTTTCTGTTTTCCTGGCTGGTTCTTTTGTCTTTTTTCCCAAGTTTTCTTTAATGAGGATTTTTTTTTAATATAATGTGCATTGTGCCTTTTTCTAGCTCCTTAAGAAATGTTACAATGGATGAAAGGGGCTGGCTTGAAGTTTAGTTGTTTGATCATGCATTCTTGTGACTCATTTGGGAGACTCGCTGTCTCTGGCTTTTGGGTTGGGGAGCTAACTGTGGCATCCTCAGCAGGTGGTTCAGTGGAGAACTGAAAGAGAGCTGATGAGAGTATCTGCTTCTCCCCTTTTTGAACAAGCAGAGTAACCTGAGTTGTTGCTTTGGTTTGCTTGCTCAGAGCCAGCCAGTGTTTATGGAACACCTGCATGTGCGAGCCGAGCAGCTCCTGGAGGACCTGTTTTCTTTGTCTTGGGTGATAGGAAGACCAGGTCAAAGTGACTTCCTTGGAAAATAGACTCTGAAAGATGTTTCCTGAACGAGCTGTCAGCCCATGTACCCTTATCACTTCTTCCCGCCCATCACAGACTTCCTTGTTGGATGTCTTTCTCTATGGAAAACATTTCATGTCTTCCAAGTGAAGTGTAGCTGTCTGGAGGATTCAAAGAGCGCAGCACATCCTAAGACAGCTGCCGCCTTTTTTTTTTTGCCCTGTGTTTTTCCTCTAAAGTATCTCTGTCAGGGTGCTAGAACTTAATCAGCCAATCCATGTTTATTTGACAGTCTTCGTTTTCATGGCAGGAAAGCTTTCCATGAGTAGACCAGGGAAATCTGAGGTACGTGCCTCCCCAAACCAGAAGGAACGTGCAGTTTAGATCACTAACAGAGTAGCATTTTGGTAAATGTTCATGTGTTTACTCTGGGTTGGCTTGGTAGAGGAGAATTTCAAGAAGAAGCTGGAGTTTTAGAGAGAATTTTGATTTACATAGTGCAGATTTGGGGAGTAGAGGTGTTGAGGGCCAGGAAAGTGGAGGAAAGAATATGAGCAAAGGTGTGGAGTTGGGAATGCATGTGTTGTATTTCGGGACCAATGAGTTGTTATAGTGATAAATAGTAACAGCTACCTTTTATTGAAAAGGAACTGTGTGCCAGGCATTGTGTGATAGCTTTACCTGGCTATCTTAATTGATCTCAGCAGCCAGGTTTATAGGCTGCACTTTGCAGATGATGAATTGAGGCTCCGGCAGGTTAATTACCCACCCCAAGATCACAGCTAGTAAATTGAGGAGGCAGATTGTCCATCGAAGAGAACATTGGAAACTAACTAGATTGTGTGGTGCTTTCAATGCCAGACTAAGAAATTTGGACCTTATAATGTAGGTTCTAGAACTTCATGTGGCAATTTGAAGGAGGGAAGTGATATTTTAGGAGTATAAATCTGATGTTATATTCAAGAATATTGGAGAGGGAAGGTCAGTTAGGAAGCTACAACAGTAGTTCAAGGTCACTTCTTTTAGGGTAGTCTCTTAATGTTGAATTCATATTTACAGTCAGGCATCATTAGGCGATTTCATCATTCAGTGAACATCACAGCGTGTACTGACACAAACCTAGATGGTATAGCCTACTACATACCTAGATTATTTTGTATAGCCTTTTACTTCTAGGCTACAAACCTGTACAGCATGTTACTGTGTGAATAATGTAGGCAGTTGTAACACAATGGTAAGTAGTTGTGTATCTAAACACATCTAAACATAGAAAAGGTACAGTGAAAATACAGTATAAAAGATAAAAAATGCTACACATGTGCAGGGCACTTACACGAACGGAGCCTGCAGGACTGGAAGCTGCCTGGGTGAGCCCGTGAGAGGGTGGTGAGTGGATGTGAAGGCCGAGGACCTTACTGGACACTGCTGCAGACTTTGTAAGCACTGGACACTTGGGATACACTGAGTTTATAAAAAATAATGTTTTTCTTCAATAATAAATTAACCTTAGCTTACTGTAACATTTTTACTTTATAAACTTAAATTTTTTTTAACTTTTTTGACTCTTTTGTAGTAACAGTTTAAAACACAAACACATTGTACAACTGAGCAAAAATATGTTGTTTTTATATCCTTATTCTATAAGCTTTTTCCTATTTTTTAAAGTTTAAATTTTTTTTTCACTTTTCAAACTTTTTTGTTAAAAACTAAGACGGAAACACACGCATTATCCTAGGTCTGCACAGCGTGAGGACCATCAATATCACTGTCTTCCCCCTCCACACCCTGTCCCACTGGAAGGTCTTCAGGGGCAGTTACACACATGGAGCTGTCGTCTCCTATGATAACAATGCCTTCTTCTGGAACACCTCCTGAAGGACCTGCCTGAGGCTCTTCTTGAGGAGGTGTCACTCTTTTCAGAAATATGGGCATGGTGGTTTGCTTGGTTTGTTTCTTTTTTTCATCATAGATTTGCTTGTAAGCAGTTAATGCAGTTAATTCCTCTCTATGAATGAAAACTTTCCTGTGTTGGGGTCCATGTTTTCAGACTTTTTGAGGAGCTCATTGTGGTCTGCACCAGAAGCGTCTGCTAAACCCTTCACCGTGAGTTTTCTTGGGAATTCTTTTTCTTCTCCTACAGTTTCCTTTTCTCTTGCTGCAACATTACTAAGATGTCACTAGGTGGTGGGAATTTTTCAGCTCCGTTATAATTTTATGAGACCACTGTTGTCGATGTGGTCTGTTGTTGACTGAAATGTCTTTATGCGGCACATGACTGTATTTATATCTGAAAGTATATTTTTTTAATCTTGTTCTTGAAATATAGATTTACTGGATACATGATTTTAGGTTGACAGTTGTTTTGTTTTAGAGCCTGGACTATATAACACTGCTTTCTGGTTTCCATTATCACTGCTGCGGAGTCTGCTGTCAGTGATATCATCAATCTTTTCTAGGTTGCCTCTCTTCTTTCCAGCTACTTTAAAGATATTTTCTTTGTCTTTGATCTTCTGAAATGTTACAGTGTGTCTAGAGTGGATTTCTTTTTAATTATTCTCCTTGTTAATTTGTTATACTTTGTGTATCTATGAGTTTATATCTTTCCTGAGAATTCTCAGGTATTATCTGTTCATATACTGCCTATCTTCTATTAATTCTTTCCTTCTGGGACTCTGATTAGCTATGTTCAGTCATTCTGTCTTCCTAGACTGTTAACTTTTCTGTCATAATTTCATATTCTTCCCTCTTTGTGCTATTCTGGGTTATCTATTTAGCTTTGCTTAACATCTGTTTCTTTTTCCAGCTGTATCTAATCTGTTATTTAACCAACACATAGAGTTATGTTGTTTGTTTTTTTTTGACCAATTATATTGTTCATTTCTAAAATGTCACTTGTGGTTTTTTTAATAATCTGGTGTCTTGCTCATTTTTTTTACTCCTTTTTTATTTTTTAAACATTTCATGCACAACTGTTTTATATTCTGTATCTGATGCTTCAAATATCTGAAGTTCTTGGGGATCTAAATCTAATGTTTGTTGTTTCTTATGACTCTTATGATTTGGTTTTCTTCACTCAGAAGCTGATCTTTGCTTGATGACAATCTGCAAATCTGGGCCTGACCTGAGGATGCTTTTTGTGAGAGAGTATGCTCCCACTGGGCGGGCCCTGGGATGGCTGTTCCCCTTTCAGGGTCCCTGGCATTATTTGAAAATCTGAGGCACAGTGTCTCTGCTTTCCTGCTGGCCCAGGGGCACAGCTCCACTGAAGTGTTAAAAATGAGCATTTGCCTTCAGGGTCACACGCCCACCCATCTTATTTTTTTCTGGTTTTATCCCACAGCTGTTTCATTTGCCTTTTTAAAGATTCCCCCACTTACTGTAAGCCTGGAGATGTAGTAAAAACTATGGTGTACACAGGGTCTTGTTGGGGTGCAGAGGCCTTTCGGATTATCTCGTCCACTACACTGCTGGAAACTGGCATCTCAGCTTTACTTAACCTAGCCCCTTGTGATTGATGTAAGAGCCACCCCTTTCTTTAAAGGCTCATTTTATGAGAGTAATGCTTTGTTTTCATTTTTCAACCATAAAATAAAATCAAAATGTTGGCTATGTTTTTTCAGAGCACAAATACCCCCATGGAGTTCTGATGCACTTGGGATGAGGGGCTGTGTGATTCTTGCTAAGCATCCTGCTTTAAGGATGGGGCTACACTATTTTAAAGATCTTCCCAATCGGGCAGCCATAGTCTCTGTCCTCAGATTGGTTTATCTGAGAAACAATCATCTATCATTCGAGATACAGCAAGTTAAAATTTGGAGAATTACAGCTGTTGCACACGACACAGGCACCTGGAAAAGCAACAGCTTAATCTGCTACTGACAGATTGAGGTGAGGACAATTAGAGGCAAAGTGGAAAGGTAACCTTGGGCTTTCCAGCTCTTAGATGAAATGCTGGTTCCCCAAAAGGCTCCGCGGTGTGCTGTGAGGAGGAGGACCACGTGCATCTCAGGAAGGCTCCCTTGTCTGCAGCCTCAGGCGCTCGTCGTCGGGGGAGGAGGGAGGGCAGCGTCGCGGGTGTCGGGCGGCAGGCGTTCTGAGTTTATTTCCCAGCTTGGCTTCTGATTCGTCTTTGGACCTTGGGGAAATAATATTGGTTTTAATCCAAATCACTTGAAAGTAGTTTAAACACCATCTCTCTTTCTCACTACCACCCAAACGTCCACATTTCTTTCCCCATATTAGATAACTCGCTTTAGGTATATGAGTTTCAGATCCCAAGAAGTGATTTTATCGGAAAAAGAGAATTTTTACCTGATTATTTGAATTACTTTATTTGTTAATTAAAAGTGCATTTGATGGTTTTGAAAACCTAATTCACAGAAATTCCTTCCTCTCGCGAAAGTTTGGAAGTGTTTCAGAGCCACACTCTAGAGCCGCGTTTAGAGGGTTTCTTGGTTTGGAACCCTCTTCCACTCTAAGAGATTGGGAAAGTTCAGGCTTTTTTTTTTTTTTTAAATCTGCTACAACCTTACTTACCAGATCTAGTGTTTTAAGAGTTCCTGTGTTTGTTTACCATGAAGGAAAAAATGGGTAGCTATTTGGTTGTATTGGTATCTTAATTCAGTTTGATTTCCTGGTATCAGGTATGAATTTTTCACCGACTGTATTTGGTCTAACTTTGTAGTCCAGTGGTAGTAAAGAATGGCTGTAGAACCTTTGCTGGGGATCTCTAGAGCAGTGGTTCAGTAAGAACAAATATTTAAGTGTCTTGAATTTACCAGGCACTGTTTCAGACCTTGAGGGCACATCCATAAAGTAGCTTATGTTTGGAATTCCTTCTAGGAAATGATGAAAGCTATGGACACTTTCCTTCAAAAAGCACTTTAATGTACACCTATGAAAATTTTTATATACTATTTTTGGGGGCTTACAACCCCCCAGAAGATCATTTGTGCACCTCAGGTTGAGAAGCCTGTCACAGGGCTCAGGGTTCTTGTGGGGGACATCCTTAGAATGAATGTCTTCTGAAATAAATGGTAATGCATGGAGAGTTCAGGAGTGGTAAACCAAAGTGTTACTTTATTATTATTTTTTTTCTTTCCATTAATCCTGTTATAGCCTGACTTTTCTGTTAGACTATTTTATGGATGATGCCTGTTAGTGTCGAACATCTGTTCATATTCTCTATACATTTCCAATTTAAATTATTCTGAAGGTAGGTCAGAGAGTGAAGACTGATTTAAATGGAAAAATGAAGTAGGCATGTGATTTTAGAGGTGCTTAATTCTGTGATTTTTACAGTGTTTCCTCATGTCAGTACAGCTCCAGGAGATGTGCAGTTAAGCCACATGAAAAACAGAATGAGATGCTGAGATGACATTACTCCTGGGACGACTCCTCCATCTTCCTCTGGTGTCTGTCTGTAGTGGTCTCTCTGTCTCTCTTTTCTCCTTGGCCCTCTCTCTCTTTCTAGCAGTGATGAGGGAAGAAGCCTGAAAGGATGTTTCATAACATTGGATGAGGGACTTGGGCTTCATTGCAGCCAGAACAAATATTCTCTCCTATTCTTACCCTGTGGCTAAAATCCCACGTGCTGTTTGCAAATTACAGGAAACTATTCCTCCAGTGAATTCAGAGTCTGGTAAGTTTTGAGGAGGAGTATGTTTTTGTGTTTTGTTCTCTCTTCATCTCACAGATTTTGTTTTTCTGCTCTTCTTGTCAAGTACATTTTCTACGTGTAGAGTAAATAAAATCTGTTAAAAGTTGGGGTGTTTCTGTTCTTGTGTGTGAGCAGCACCTTCTAGTTCACTTTTTTTTTTTTGGTGAGAAAGATTGCCCTGAGTTAACATCTGCTGCCAGTCTTCTTCCTTTGTTTTTTTCTCTTCTCCCCATAACCCCAGTACATAGTTGTATATCCTAGGTGTACATTTTTCTAATACTTCTATGTGGGACGCTGCCTCAGTTTGGCTTGATAAGCGGTGTGTAGGTCCACATCCAGGATCCAAACTGGTGGACCCTGGGCCATGGAGGTGGAGCGCACGAACTTAACCACTATGCCACCAGGCCTGCCCTTGAGTTCACATTTTTTAAAGCCACATCTAATGAAACCTCGAGGAAGAAAATGTAGCTGGGGTTTAGAAGCTCCAATTTTAAGCCTCATGACCTCCCCTTTTCTGTACCTCCTTTATAGTGGAATAATAACGTGATGTGCTTGGTTGTAAAGCTTTAGTTTCCAGTGAAGTCACTGCCTGGCCTTCAAGGGAGGAATTGCTGGGTTTGAGTTTTGGGGTGACAGAGATGAGGCACTTCTTTGCATGTCTACATCCACCCTTTCCATAGAGAGAAAGGTTGTTTTTTTCTTTTCTTTTATGAGATTATGGCTGTGTAATGAGAAAATTGATCATAAGACTTTAATTCACTTTTTTGGGGGGAATGGCAAGATTTGGAGCATGGTCTTTGGCTCTGTAGAATTATTTCATCACTGTCTTCTGAATAACCCTTGTGTATTGGCACTTATGTTTCATTATCATGGTCCATCTACCTCCAGTGCACAGCATCCTTTTCCTGTTCATTGCTACTCTTTCCCTAATGCCCAGCTTAAGGTTCTTCTCTGCAAAGCCTTTTTCAGTTCCCAGCCTGGAGTGATCTCTTCCTCTTCTGAATTCCTATTTCTCAGGAAGAGTATGAGCTAGACCGAGGGTTGAAGCTCAGCTCTGCTTGTGACTTGTCATCTGTAAAAGAAGAGTAATGTATGGCTTTATAGGATTGTTTGCAAATGAGTGACTATATGTAAAGCTCTTATCGACGTATCTAAATAAATGGTAACAAAAATAACACTAATTAAGACAGCAAAATTAAAATTACTTACATAATTTATGTAACGTGCTTAACAGAGGGCCCAGTATAATAATAAACTCTCAGTGTTGGGTTTTATTTTTTGTCAATAGGTGGTAGAAATTTATTGTTATTACTGACTGTTGCTGCTGCTACTACTTTTCTTACTACTTTACTGTAATTCATTTGGTCCTTAATTACTCAGAGGCACATTTAAAGTGAAGCTTATCAAGCTTAGGCTTTTGGACTCCTCGCTTAGACCCCTTCTAAGGCCCTGAATTTCATCCCAGCAAGGTGTCCTCAAATTTGTAGACGTTAGATCCTGCAGCTGCACTCAGTTGAGACTGTCCTCTTCTCCTCTCCACTTTCCCTGTCATGCTTCTCCTTAGGTTGGGTCGCATTGTAATGGCCACAGGCATTTTCCCCACCTGAGGGGAGGTGGGAACACATTCTTTCTGGTTTAGTGGGATTGTTGATGTGGTCCACAGTCACTGCTCTGTACAGTTGCTGTTGCAGGCCATCTCAGTGAGGAATGGCTTCCAGGAGTATTCCATTGTGCTGTTTGACTTACTAGGGTTGTCATATGAAGTGGTAGGGCCCACTGTGACGGCCACTTTTGAGCTCCTGTAATGCCATTGTAGTGAGGATGTGGTTGAAAAGGTGGGTAATGTTTTCTCATGTCAAAGAGTGTTTAAGATTAGAAACTCTACAAGAAAATTTGAAATGCCCTGAAATCTTACAGCTTAAATGTGAAAGAAACTTTAGATAGAGGTTTTCCCAAATTTAACAACAATCTTTAACACTTTACGTGATTTGCCAATAATGAATATTTCATTTTTCTATGATAGTACTGATAATGAATAATGATTTATGAAGTGGAAAGATACTTTCCTAAAGTGTTTTTTTTTGTTGTTTTTCCTCCCCAAATACCCCCAGTACGTAGTTGTGTATTTCAGTCCTGGATCCTTCTAGTTGTGGCATGTGGGACGCCACCTCAACATGGCCTGACGAGCGGTGCCATGTCTGGCCCAGGATCCAAACCGTTGAAACCCTGGGCCACCAAAGCGGAGCACGCGAACCTAACCACTCTGCCACGGGGCCAGCCCCTCCTAAAGTATTAGTATTAATTTTTTGACAGCCATGTTGAAGGAAAGTCTTAATTAGCATTCTTTTATTTCCATGGACAGTGTTATAAAGTCGTTGGCACATGACAAAGTGATCAGACATCCTAAAACATGTAGGAAAGATTATAGAGTACCAAGGAGTTAATAAAAATATTATTTTTCTAGACTTTGTGATATTTGTGTTTCTAGCTTCTTAAATTTATAAAATTTTTTTGTGGTTTGTGGTCTCATTTTTGATAAACATTTACTTTGTACCTAATTTTGTATTCTTAATTTTGTATTTTTCCTCGTGAGGGACTCAAAACTGTATCAGTGTCAGACTCCACCAAACTTGGATTCACCTCAATTGTAGTCTTCCTTGAATTGTATCCTTTGATGTTGTATTGACCTACTAATTTAAGTCATTAATGACAATATAGTGTTCCTGGTGTGTGTCTTGACTGTTCAAGTAGTTTGTGGGCTGAGGGCAGAAGCCTTGTCCGATGCCTAGCATAATGTTTGCAGTAGGTATGCTGATGCTCATTGAAGAGGGAACAGGGCAAGCTCTGGAGGGAGGTGTCTGTTCGTTAGTTGTGGGTTTGAGAAAGAACAGGGGCTTCACTGGCAGTTTTAGAAGGGGGTTGACAAGTATTTCTGTTCAAACATATTGCAGCCTTGACAGATGAGAAACCATGGTCTAATTTTTCTGTTTCTTAATCTTTGAAAATAATTCAAAGTCAGAAGACCTGGTTTCCACTTTGACTTCTGATACTTTAGAGTTTTGAGGTTGCAGTTGTCTCCTAATATATTTGAGCCCTATTCTCTTAATCTATCGCAAGGACATTGTAATACCCACCATACAGGATGGTTGCATGAATCACATGGGATTCTGTGTGAAAGTGTACTGTGAATTATAAAATGCTCTGCAAGTGTAAACCGTTAGCATTCTTTGCTTTGCTTTATTGCCTCTGGGATCTAGAGTGTCACTAGTCCTCTTGTTCTCCAGAACTTTAGGTTACAATCCTGATTTAGAGGAATTTTCTCATATTAAAGTTTCCCTGATGGCTTATTTTTACGAGAAGGCAAGTTTTTAAATTTATTTTTTCTATGTAGGAAACATATTTCATCTGAAGTACAGATTGATGTCCTGAATTTTTCTAAAAATAACAGAAAGCTAATTTTAAGTTTCAAGAGTAGAGAAGAAAATTTTATCTTTGATATTTTTGTATTTAATAGTGATTCAATGATATTTGTAGAAGAGATTAGACATTTTATGCCTGGGGGAAATTTTCGTGCCCGAACTAGCAAAGTTTGAATAAGAAAAGTTTCAGTGGAAATTCCAGCATATCTTTAAGTAAAAGGAGGTGCCAATATAAATCAGTAAGTTTAACTTTAAAATAAGCATCTTATTAGATAAATAGCTATTAAGAATGGATGAGTTCAGTGCACGAAAATGCCGTCTGAATAAATTGGCCTCCATGTTCCATTGGCTGTTTCCGCCTGAGAGCTTTAGTATTGCCTTTCCCCAAACACTTAGAGAAATGGAGCATCAGAGTTTCATGTCCTGAGATCAGTGTGCCATATAATGTTAGGAGCCGTTCAGATGAAAGGCATAGTGCTTTCTTTTGTATATTAAGAAAAAGTAGGGGAGAGTATGAAAGAACACCCTGTAACTAAAAAAATAAAATTCCTCTGTTTAAGACCCAGAGAGTATATAGTTTTCACAAAATGCTGAAACAAACCATATGTTGGGCATTAAACCAGAGCAATATGGGTGTTAAAGTCTGGCCTCCCTGCTCTCTCACAGATTATATTCATGCTCGTTTCAAAGTTTTAGTTGAAGTCTTGAGACTCTGGCAGCTTTAGTTAGGTAGAGGCACCTATGAGAGAGCCAAATCTTGGATTCTGTCTGTTACAGACCCAGCTAGGTAAGATACTTTAAGAAACTTTCCTCTTCCTTTGAAGGTTGTTCGTGTTGGACTTCTCTGGAAGAAGGAACTGTCTTATAGGCCAATTCTAGTTTCTCAGTAACTGGACCGGTTATCAGGAGACCTGGTGTTTACCACTGACGTAACACCATGATCTCAGCAAGTCATTTAATCCCTTTGTGTTAAGTTTGCTACCCATAAAGGTAATATTTGCCCCTCTCAACTCACACAGGCATATAGATTATAGAATTTCAGAGCTGAAAGATACTGTAAGACAGGGTTTATGAACCTTGGCACTATTCACATTTTGGGCTGGGTAGTCCTGTGTTGTGTGGGACTGTCCTGTTCATTTTAGCATATTTAGCAGCCTTCCTGGCCTCTAAATGCCGGTGGTAGCACCCTTAATTATGACAACCAAAAATGACCCCAGATCTTTCTCAGTGTCCTATGGGTGGCAATAATTACAGTTAACTATGTATGTGGAATTAGAATGTTGTTTATGTATGTATGGTTAGAAATTCAGAATGCAAGGTCCAGTTGAGGACCACTGCTGTAAGAGATTATTCAAAAAAAGGCAGCTGAGGCCTAGAGAAGTTCAGTAACCAGCTTTTGATCACTTTATATATTAAGTAGTGAAGCTGGAACTAGAACCCAACTTTATTAATACGCTCCCAACCCAGTTCCCCAGTTCCCACCTTAAATTAATTCAGAGTTTCATTCCATATCAAAAGCAGTAGCATACCTTTGAAATTTGGACACCCACACGGAGGTCGATG